ATTCAGACTGCCTAGAAAAGAAACATAGTCTTTCCATGTAGATAAGCTCAGCACATCAGCTGTCGTGATCTAGGTGTAGGCAGGTGGTTGTTTTCCTTCAATAAACACACCAAGTTATCAGTTAAAACATAACTTTCTATAACTGCTTAGGTCCCATGTTCATGTTAAAACAGTGCACTTACTAGAAAAGACAAATATATAGACATCTATAACACAGTGACATACAAATACCCTCAAGCAAGCTGTGCATCTCTTCTGGATGTATAGCACAATTCATATTTTTTGAGCATGTAACATTAAATATTATGGCTCATGGACTGTTCATACAAAGACAGGTTAGAACTATGGAGTTGTATCAAATGTCAATGATGCTTATCTTAAAGGAAGTCATGGTCCAATTATGAATATGGCTGCTGACCTTCCATGATCTGAGGTGCATGCAAATGAAAAGTATAAAATATCAGCAAAATGTAATATTTCCTCAAAGGGATGGAACCAATTCTCAGTTAATATTTTATATGCAAGCACTGAACATTAAAAAATATATTAAAAGATTAGTGGAGATATTATTCCCAACTTCATAAAATGCAAAAACCGTAACTAGAAAATCATAACTAGAAAACTTAGAATGATGTGTCATTTGGGGCTGGCAGCCACAAAAGAGGGAAAAACATAGTACTATTTAAATACTGCTTAGGAACACAGATCTAGAGAAAACATACCCAACGTTCACCTTGTCCAGTATCTGGTCTAAGATGCTGGCTAGTATACAATGCTCTTAAGAAAAGTGCAAGAACCTAAACCTTTCCCACATGTAGGTTTTGCCTCTGTCTCTAAAGGCTACAGATTGGTTTAAGCCCTGAATATAATAGAGAACCAGCATAACTGGCTCCTACAACTTCTTCCCACAGCAGAACTGGCCAAAACATTACAATTCCATTTGCAATAAGTATCAGCATTTCAAGAAAGTTCTTGCTCCAATATAGTGTTTAGTCTGAACTTTCTAAATTTTCTGCAGAATGAAACTCTGAATAATCTGGGTTTTAGAAATGCTTTTTTAGGGAGAGGGGAGAAGTCTTCCTAGAGAGTCATGGTCATGGCTCAGGCTTCCCCTGCCATAGAAAAGGAAGCCCAGAAGTCCCAAGATTGCCTGGTAGCTCCCTGGAAGCCTGAAAAGTCCTGGTGCAAAAAACCTCACAAAACTTTGAGGGTACTTGATGTAAAGGGGCGGAGGGTGGGGGGAGAGAGTAGGTGTCCAGCTGAGTTTTAGCACCCAGGAATTCTAGGCTCCTTGCTCTATGGCAGAAAACTACAGACCATAAAACTTGGAGCCCCTAAGGTAGCCCATGGGATAGCATGCACCTGGTGCTATGACCCTGGATGTTTGAGCTCCTACGCAGCATGGCAAGTGACATGGCAGGCAGGCTTGCTGGAAATCTGCCTCTGTGTTCTGGCAAAAGTGTACGAAAACAAATGTCTCCACAAAACATTTTGGTTTTGATTAATCTTCATGTCCCAACCTTTTGGACCCCAATTTTTCAAACTTTCCCCAGACAGCAGCTGCCCAAAACAACAACGCTAATACACTTGGTTTAAAAAACGGCAGATCAAAATTCAAGGAATACATTTCCACTTAGTAATCAAATGGATATTTCATCCTTACTACAGTTGTCTTCAAAGGTCACAAACTGAGTTTTGAGATCTTCAAGAAATGTCTGGGTAACCAGCTGGACACCACAGTTTTCGGGGAAGCCTTGGATACTTACTTCTGGTCGGAGGACTGCCTTCCGACAGGCCTGGCACAATGGTCCATTTCGAGAGAAGCTGAGGGGAAGGCGACGCGTGCGATTCTGGCAAGCTGGATCCTCACATATTAACCACCCCTACAATGAAAGAAGGGAACAATAAACTTGACTATGGATTAACTCAAATTACAACCTCCTTTTTTGCCCTATGAGCACTAAATACCACTATTGATGCATTCTAAAGAAGAGTAAAAGAGACAGAAACACATTAATACCTCAGAATCCTCTGTGATGGTGTAATTATAAAATCCATTTTAAGGATATTTTAAGGAGCTACAGAAAGTTTAAGGTACTTGCCCAGGGTAATACATTCAATGGCAGAGTTAAGTGAAGAAAACACGGATCCAATTTTGAAATTCCTTGCTCTCCCCTATACATAACACTCCACTATACTCTTAATGTGATAATGGGACAATTCTGTGCATGACAAAATGGCAAAATACAAAGTGGAATGGTGCAAGAACTCATTAATGAAATAGTGAAATGAAGCCTTATCTGCTTGCTTGAGGTTTAGAAGGAAGGGGGAATTACAAACTAGCTTTTGTAAATAAGACCCAGAAACCTCACTGCTAGGTTAGGCAATTCACTGTAATTGAGTCTACCTGATTGGGAAAAAAGAATTCTGACCTAATTTGTTAGATGCACAAATGCATTAAGGACTTTAAGAAAAATAGGCAACCATGGAGGCACAAAATGATAAGGTGAAAACATTTCTCAAGCACGACATGAATAATCCAACTACAGTCACTCTTCATTTATAATTACAAAATTGATTTTCTTCACAATTGCAGAACTAAATCCAGAGTAAAGCTACAGAAGGCAGAGGAACTTCTGTCCCACTTGCCTTAGAACAAGAAAACACGTCAACAAGTGATTTAAATGGTGAGCGTGTAAAGAATTAAAACAAAAAACAAAAAAACTGCACAAACACAACACTTTCACAAAACATGCCATTAACCTATGGAACTTGTCACTAAAGGAAGTTATTGACGCATACCATACAACAGAGTTTTAAGAAAGATTGGGTAGTTTATGTGGATAGTGGTCATATCTGGAACTATACTAGGAAATGAAAACAAAAGTTTTGGAAGAGATGTTAAATGTCATGATTTAACATACCTAAGAGGCAACCTCTTAGCTACGGGAGATAAGGATAAGATCTATACGAGAAGACAAGATTGTTCTACATTTACCTATTTTGGCTTTCTTACACCTTCCTCTGAAAACATCTAGCACTATGCACTGTCATAATCTGCACACCTAAGTAGACCATTGCTAGGATTGATGCAGTGCCTGAAGTTTCTAGATGTATAAATCTGTATCATGAGAATTTTTTTGTGGATTCATAACTCAGTTCTGCTTGATTTCTGTTACCTGCTGGCCTTTGGGGCACTGATTAAGGATTACCAAAACCTCATCAAATGTTCCTTTTATAAGGAACAGCTGATTACTTCCCCCAGAAGAAAGGCATAAAAAGGGGCCACCAAAACTATCATAAAGTAATCACCTGAAATTTCTTTACGTAACTGCTTTACGTCCTTTCACTTGCTGCTGAAGAAAGAATTATGAACTTCAGTGGTGAAACAACACATTTAAGAAAAATTGGAATTAAAAAAACCTGGCCGGAACTGAAAATCACACCTACATTTTAAGACAAAATAAGCATCAAATCTCAGCATCTTTTATTTTTTTATGATTCTAATTATTAATACCTCTCTAATTATTGATAGACATAGCTGAAACATTTATCTAGATATATTATACCTGCACAACTCATTGTAGTGCCTTCAAAACTAGGGAGGTGCTAAGCTGTCAAGTCACCTGCATTTAAAACAAACACCTAACTAAATCTGTGACATAGATACCAACTAAATGTCCCTTCAATTCATATAGAAAACAGATAATGTAATTTGTCTAGACTTCCTACCAGTTATAATTAACATTAAAGAGGTCTTTTCTTCTTTGTCACCTCTCTATTCAGTACTTATTTGCATTTGTTTGTACTTACTATCTGTTAATCTCTCTTTACAAATGACAACAATAACTAGTGCGATTATGCATGGAAATTAAACATGTAGATAAATGTGTGAAGGGAACTATTTTTGAAAAAAAATATTAGAAGAATGTTTCTTTTTATGTTTCTTGTTTTGCTTTGATAATTAAGCTCTGGTCTTGATTTGTTTTAAACAAAAAACTTTTCCAAGGACATGCATGCTGCAATCAAATTCAACATATGCATTGTTTAGATTCAATTTATTCAAGTGCATTATTGTTAACCCTTGTTTGACTCATGCCATTGTCTTCACTAACCAAATGAAACCAATCTTTCATCTCCCAGCAGTTATCTCCAAGTCTTTAAATTAATTTGCAACAAAGCAAACCGAATTATAACTAAAAGCCCTCTATTATGATTTTGCTTGTTGTCTGCACTCTGTTGAGTCTGGAAATAAAAGGCCAGTCAAAATTTTAGCTTTTCTAAATATTTCTTCCATAACCACCTAGTTCCATACTAAAAGTAAAAAGGGTGAGCAAAAGATTGAAATAGGATGCATGTTATAAAAAAATCCCAAACAATTCCTGAAGTACATATTGTCCACAGATTGTAGCTAATGGAGAGGAACTTCTAAGTCAAAAGTACTGTGACCTCTAGAAGTCTGTTGTTTAGAGTCTATCCTCTTGAGCAGTGGTTCTCAACCTTTTTTGTACCAGGTCCCATTTGTAAACATCAATGGCCAGTCCCAACCTGCGGCCCACTGCCCCCAGGTCCCAGCCCCCCAGTGTGTGGGGATGGGGGTGGTATGTGTTTGGCTTGGGGAGACCCAAGCAGCCCCTTAAAACCATGTTTTTCCTTATTTTTCTCAGTTCAAAGAGAATCCATTTTTACAATTTGTTCGCGACTCTTTCTTATATTCTTGCGACCCACTTTTGGGTCATGACCGGCAGGTCGAGAAACACTGCTCTTGAAGACTGCAGGTACGTATGCTTTACAAAACATTAATCTGATGGAAGGAGGTACAAGGTTTCAGACCAGGCATTCACTAGGAGAAGCAGGGGTCAAACTACCCAAGTAATTTTGTAATGGAGCAATATACATATATGAATGAGACTATAGGATATGGTTGCCTGTGAGAGCCAAACTTCCAGTCCTATATTCTATGTTCATACATAAGCTTTGTAATTTTAACTAGTTGGGCACGGTGATTACTTCTCTGGTGCTACCCAGACTGATAACTCAACTTGTGACACGTTTATTTCAGCACTCTCCAACTGTTGGCCTGAGGGCTGCATATGGGCTATGAGGAGTTAATTTGTAGGCCCTGAGTTTCTGCTCAGACACTGCTGCCTCCATCACTCTGGCTGCTCCTCCTCTCTACCTCCAGCCCAAAGGGTGGAGTGATGCAGTGCAGCAGGACAGTGAGGGAAGCAGAGGGTATAGCAGGGGTGGAGATTACTCATTAGATTAATTTATGATACTTTTGGTGGCACCTTTTTAAGCCTTTTTTCTGGGGTTGTAATCAGCTGCTCCTTATAAATGGAATATTTGATGAGGTTCTGGTAATCCTTAATCAGTGCCACAAAGGCCAGCAGGTAACAGAAATCAAGCAGAACTGAGTTATGAATCCACCAAAAAAGGGGGGAGGGGAGAGGAGAAGAGGGAGGGGAAGTGCCCACACAAGTCCAAAGCTTAGTGAGGAAGAGTAGCCACACGTCATACAGCTCAGGGGGACCCAGACTTGCTCTGGCATATCCCGCAGGGTGCATTGCCCCTAGCTACTTATAAACTGGACAGCCCTGGTTTCTTTTATGTATAGTCACACAAGATGAACTATAACAGTATTTTGAAGCTTTACATACAAAATTTGGATCCTGATTCTTCAATAGTAAAAGTAAAAAAACAAGACTTTTCTATCAAAAAAAACCCTAAACATTCTCATGAAAAATTTGTGAACAGCTAAAAAATGTGTAAGCTCATACAGCTACAAGAAAAAATGCAGGGATAACAGTAGATGGGAAGTTAGGATGTGAGTTTGAAATGCAGCAATTCACCATAAAAAAATGGCAATATCTTGCTATGTGTATATCTGTATGTAACTGTTTCTGTTGCTCTGGTCTACTGTGGGCACCTCTAACTGGAAAGAGAAACACTAGAAAAACAAAGGGAAAAAACGCAAACACAATTATCAGGAACTAGAAGTACCAAATAATTGACTTAAGTTTCAAAGAGCTAAAACAAGTATAATTTAAATTTTGTTGCCACACCTTAATAAGGAGGTGGCAACAAACATTTACAAAGAGCTGAAGCATATAATACACAGTTACTGAAGGGATGCTAGGATAAGAGGATGAAATTAAGAAAAAAACATTTAATTGAACTACTGGAGAAAAAAAATCCAGACAGACAGACCTAAAAGGCCAAAGAAACATTTACATTTGTGTTGCTTGGAACACTTAAAACCAGAGGTGGAGAAACCTAGAGAAAAGGTGTTACAGGGAAAATGGATGGGTTTGAATGACTGCAAAATCTGTTACCTGATATCCTTGATGAGACCAATTTTTCCAATTCTGGCCAATAAACTTTCCCCTCTCCCTATATATACTAGATACTGTTGAGACTTGACAGCTACACAAAACTTTGTCAGCCTACCTATGCAAAAGAATATTTACAAAACTATAGAAACACTGAAATGTGTTAGCAATAAGATAACCTTACTTAGGAATCTTAGATAGTAATCTTAGATATACAAAGAATCAACTTCATAGCTGTACTTTTCTTTAGAGAACTTAAAAGATAGACTAGGAGGGACACCCTCAGAATGGAAGATTTCTTATCCAGTACCATACTTGCCACTGGCAGCATCTCCCACAATTCAGTTAGGAACATGCTGCCATCCTCCTGTCTGGAGTACTACATGTGATTTGCCATTGCAATGTAGCCTATACTGACTACTGCTTCTTCTCTAGGTTGCTACTAGATGAATCATTCTATACCAAGTAAAAACTCTTACACTATGATTAGTGATAACCATATTGACAACTGGTACACTATTTCAAGTATGGCAGCTGTTCCACAAACTATA